CCGCAGAACACACACATTCATGACGGAAACAAGCAATAAAGGCTGGCCGCGTATCTCAGCTGATAGTGTTTGCCTAGCATGCAGGAAGCTCTGGGTGTGATCTCTAGCACCAAATGAAACCAGGCACGGCACTGTACATCAGTTAGCCCAGCACTCTGGAGCTGGAGGCAGAAGGATGGACGTTCAAGCTCATCTTTGGCTACGTAATTTAACAAGACACGACTGACTTTTTTTTTTTTTTTTTAATTTTCATTTTGCTGTGTAGTGTTCTAGTCATAATTTCAACCCACAGGTACAGACGGCATTCAGACAGGAACATCGTGGGCTTCAAGACCTGTGAGCTCTTGGTAAAATTACCAAACAACTCCATCATTTTTCAGTAAGTTCCTGAAGTGAGATCATTACCCCAGACCCAGTCTGAGTTTATTTTCATTTTTATTGAGTTAGGGTCTTGCTATTGTAGCCCAGGCTGGCCTTACACAGAGATGTGGTTGGAAGCAAAGTAGAGGAAATAGTTCATCTTGAAGCAGGGTCCAGTGCTTTAATTGGAACATTCTCAAATCTCTCAATAGTATTTCCTCAGAAATTGTGGACAAGATTTTAAGTTCATGGGGAAATCTGCTCTGTAAGATTGAAGAGCAATGTCTGTTTGGTCAGTTGATTGGTTGGTGGATGTTTTTGAGACATAGTTTCTCTGTGTAGCCTTGGCTTTCCCTGAAGTTGCTCTGTAGCCCAGAACTCAGAGCTCCCCCTGCCCCTGCCTCCGGCCCCCACTGCCAGGCTGTTAGTTTTTCATTGGGAATCTGTCCATAGGCAAAAAGTAATTGTGATTTGCTTGGCAGCAGAGTACGAAAGAAGGCATTTTAGAGTGGATAGTGACGCATCTACAGGCTGCCAGCAGAACACTCCAAGAGGGAGAATTAGGCACTTGAGTGAATGTCCTGGGCAAATAATAAAGAATTAAAAATCTTCCTGAAGTCTTTATTGGATTCAAGTGCAGAGGGCTCTGCTTTAAATAGGGAGTTGGTGTACATTCTGTATTTTTATGTAATAATTTTTTTTTGTTAAATGTATCTTGATTGTGTGAACTCATGAAAGATTGAACACATCATTTTCCTGGTCCTTTGACAGTGCAGTTCTATTTGCAAGATAGTGCAATCATTTAATGACCCATGAAGAGGCTAGCTCTTGAATCCAGTATATACTACAGTATAACTATTATTATACCACTTTTTGGCCATTTTTCTTAGCTGTGGTTAATAGCTATAAGCATAGAGCTCATGTAGGATTCTCCCTGCATGGCTTCTTGATGATACAGACTCAAGTATTTCCCGCTGTACACCTGGCTCCTCTCGTTACATCTCTTAACCTTGATCTGGTGCATGGTGACAACAACCTCCAATACCCTTGCCGGAACATGGAGCCTAGTCCTGACCAGCCCGAAAATGATCAAATGATGAAGGTGAGAAATGAAGGAGGGTCAGCATGCACTGTCAGAGAGGACATAAAGGCCTACGAAGTTGACCAAGGTAGCCTATCTGTTGCCCCCAGAGTTCCTGCAGCACATGGAAGGTGGAGGCAGGACAATTCCCCTTGCACCAGCTAGCCAGAGGCGGCAGGGAACAACAGCAAAGATACCACTGCCTCACACAAGATGAAAGGCAAAGACTGACGTGTGAGATTGTACTCTGATCCCCACTCGTGTGCCTACGCTCACACGTGTACACATACACACATTAATGATACCGGTGGCCTACAAATCTCAAGTCTCGTTTTTCTGCTCTAAGAAGCAGGAAAACCGTGGATCTTGTCCTACAGTGGAAAGAAAGATTTCCGAAATAAAAGAAATGCTTGCTTTGTCTCTATGTGTGTGCAGACCTGGGGAGGAATGGGGCCGTGGCCTGTTTTTGCAGGCAGAGTCTCCGGTGGGTTCTTGACCTCTCTCCCCATAGCCGGGTGGGAAGCTGGCTGAGTCAGTGGTGGAAAGAGTTACTCTTTTTGGGTCACCATTCTTCTGAGCCTCTCTGGCTCTTGCACATGCCAGGGTCCTCTGGGAACTGCCCAGAGTGGCAGGGTCCTCACTGCTGTTTCTGATGCTCGCCAGTGGACACTTGTACTATAATACTTTGCGTGAGTACAGAGCCCCTGTTTTGGGTGGGGACAGTTGTAATTGGGAGCTGGAGGTGAGCACAAAGCACGGTTGCCCCGAGGAAGCCAGTAGTCGGGCGGGGTGCAGATGTAGGTCTGCGGCGGCGGCATGGCGGAGGAACATGAGGCGCCGTGAGATGGGAGCCAGGGCTCCTGGACGAAGATGCTTCGGGTGAGGGTGAACGGAGCGGGCAAGAAGGGGAGAAAATGGTTTTCACATAGATGGGACAGCATGTGTTCCCAGAGCTGAGGGAGGGGTGGAGCTGCCAGAAGCTTGGGGCGGGGATAGGGGCGTGGGGATGCATCGCAACACTCCAGATCTTAGCACAGGCAGGAGTTGCAGAGCACAGATATTACGGGGATTGGAGACCCAGAAGCCTTAGGAAGAAGTTTCCAAACTGAGACCGTGGAGTCTTAATTTGGGGAGCACGCAGAGTTGTGGGCCCCATTTAAGCAGGGTGAGCTGATCTTAATCTATCGCCTACTGATTATACCCATCTTAAAAGTGCCGTTGTTCTACAAATGACACAGGAAGCTCCGCTTCTACTCCATCCCACCTGTCTCTCCCACCTAGCTGCTGCTGCAAGACCATTCTCCCTCCTGTTCTTCCTCCTTTGCTTCCCTATCTCGTCTCCCTCCCTACTAATCCATTTGTTTGCTGGTTGGGATGGGAATGCAAGCTATCGCACACGTACAGCGGTCAGAAGACAACTTCCAGTAGTTCTGTTTCTGGTCTTCTACCACGTGAATCCTGGGGATCAAACTCAATTCATGAGGCTTGGAAGCAAGTTCGTCAACCTGCTGAGCCATCTCCCCAGACCTCTTTTAAACAGCTTTTCCCTAGAGGTTCCCTGATTGCTACCCAGGCATCAAACATGGGCTCCCGGGCAAGCAATATCCAACCCAGGCTTTTCCTCTTGGGCGCCCAGCGCAAGCGCTGCTTCCCTAGTCTTTGTTTCTGTGGGAGGGAAACCACCAGAGCCAAGTTGAGATGTGGCAGTGAGGTCAGGGACTTGCCTCAGACAGCCCATTATCAAGCCCCAGACAGAGATGGTACATATGTGGCAGGTGAACCTCCACTCCCCTTCCTAGGGCCTTGGCAGACATTACTAATCAATTACATCACTTTCCCAATGGGTCAATCCAGAGCTGCAGACAACCACAAAAGTTGACTTGCCATTCTTGACCCAGACACTATCCAAAAGCCAGAGTGGCTCTGACTCAGAAGGCAGGCTAAAGGGTAGCGGTCAGGACGCATGCAGGGCTTTCAAAATCGGTCAGGTAAAGGACAGGACAAGGCATGGCCAAGCTGGCAAGGGAAGGAAGTGGTGACTCACATTCATCAGAACTTCAGTTTACAGAGGGCTTTCTCTAAAATACCCTGACTCTTGAGGTTAACTGACTCACTTCCATACTACAGATAAGGAGACATCGAAGTCCCAGAGAACGGGGGGTGCACCCGTGTCACCCAGCGTTCTGGTCCACGTGGCACACACTTTGTCTCTGAGCCTCAGCACAAGTAGCTCAAGACTCAGGGTCACCTCCTCTAAGGAGTCACCCAGAGCCGAGACTCCTGAGAGGGGTGGCGGGCAGAGCCGTGACTACCTCACACGCAGTGGTGCCCCATCTGGTGGTGTAATTTCACAGGGGACTGAAAATTTGTTGCTGGGACAGAGCTGGAGGGCCAGCTCGTTGGGGCATGTCTTTGGAGGTTACGCTTGGTTTGAGTGCTCTCTCTCTCTCTCTTTCTCTCTCCCCCCCCATCTCCCTCTCCCCTCCCTCCTGTCTACCTTAAGACAAAGAACTTCCAATGCCACCTGGTTCTGCAACGCAGTGGCCATGGGGTAAATAAAGCTTCTGAAAATGTGAACAACAACAAAATCTCTGCCTCAAGTTATTCTGAAGGCTATTCGGTTATGGTAATGAGAAAAGCAACTAATATAGGGCACACGTTGGGCCCCTCCACCCTGGCCTGGTATTCAGCTCTCCTTCACGCTCTGAGCCACTCAGGAGCGTGCTCTTGCCTGGATTGGCCTTCATTTCTATTGCTTGCCAGGAAAGGCTGTGGGAAAGTGTAGGTCGGAATCTGTTTGGCTTCTAGTTTCTTGGTTCTTCCTCTCCAACCCAGGGCTCAAGCATGAAGCCAAGAAGCCCAGTGGTGGGAAAGAGCCTCAGGAAACATAAAGGTGAGAGGTAGTTCCTCTTTGAAGACACTGAAAGCCTCTTTCTTGCTCTCCTTGTAGTATGCCCTTCCTTCCTGGAAAGCCCCACAGTCAGGGCCAGGCCGATGGCGGCTTCTAGGAGTAGTGGCTCTGGTACAATGTGCAGGGTGTTCAGGAAGTCATCTGCCTTTTAGCAGTCTCTAGATTCCATTCTGCATCATGGTCAGGGTCAGAGAGTGCCCAGGTAGCCACCACCACCGTCATCACACACACCACACACACACACACACACACACACACACACACACACACACACACGAGCAGACATGTCCCATCTTGGGAGCCTGTGCTCCCATCAGCCCACCTCACTGGCCCTGCCAGAGGAGCAGATGCCCTGCACTCCTGCCAGGAAGCCCTTTGAAGAGTTGAACAGCAACATTCTGCTATTCATTAGCTAAGAACAGCAGCTGCCACCTAGTGTCTGAGCAGTGTCAAGACTCCCGCCTGGGTGGTGGGAACCGGGGTGGCTGGCTAGCACTGGCTCCCTAAGGGCTGGACAGGAGGAGCTGAAGGACTATAGTGGGTTCCCTCCGTCCTATGTGTGAAAGTCATTCTATTTTGCCAGAAATGCTGACTATTCAGGAAAAACTCATGTTTTAAATGTTAATATTTATTTATTTGTTTGTTTATTAACGCCTAAGGGCTACTGATGTAGCTCATTGGGAGGGGCACTTGCCTGACAAACCCAAGGCTCTGGGTTCTCTCCAGCACATTGGAAAACAAGCAAACACACCTAAACATGTCGGGAAGTCTCTCCTATTGATTTAAATCCCTTTACAGTCACGAGTGTGTCTCTCTCTGGCCTTCTCTAATGTCTGTTCTGCCAGCCTGAGGCTCTGGCCAGCATCTTCGTGTGGGAACTAACCTTTGCGTGCTGCCTCGTGTACTGTTTTTGCTGAGGCCCCACCTCCTTCCTTCCTGTGCACCTCATCCTGGCTGCTGTGCCCCCCCCCCCCAGATGCCCGCTGCCCTTATATTTAGTTTCAAAGTTCCCCATGCCTGAGCTCCTTCCACAGCTCCTTGCTCCTTCATCCGGCAACCAGTAACTGCTGATGTCAGCCAAGCCTCTCATTGTCCCAGTCCAGCTCAAGGGCCCACAGCTCGCCAGGACCTAAAGTCTGGAGGTCTTACCCCCATTCCCAGGTCCCACCCCCACTTCACTCACTGGTCCTCTTGGTGTCCTCTCCTACAGCCACCTCAGTGCCTCCTGGAGTGGGCCTTAGCTGTCCCTTGCCTTAAGACCACGTCCAGCTGGCCTCCTAGGTGTGGGGATACTCCACTAAGCTCAAGTGGAAACCCGAGCTTTTCGAATGCCTTAGCTGTGCCCTCGGACAGCTCGCTCTACTGTGAGATCACTCGTTAGTGCCCCTCTCCAAGCCCAGCCCCACACTCTGCTAACGGAATAAACAGCAACACTGGTCAGAAGATATCCATGGCACCCCCAGACCTGGGTCCAGATGCAGTCTCTTCCATCTCCAACGATACGCTCCCTGATCTACTCCAGAGCACCCAACCCGCCATCTGCCAGAGGCTGGGGCTGGGGTGCAGTCAGTGGTCAGTGCTTGCTGACCATGCACAGTGCCCTGTATCTATCCCCAGCACCATAAAGCAAAGAAGCCTGGGAGCCAGGACACCCTTCCACCTTTTATTTCACATAAAAGCCCAACTGCCCCCTGGACTAGAAGGCTCCAAATGCAGCCTGAGTCACCTCTGGCTTCCTCTGTTCTAACCCCACCTGCCCCTGGTTCTTGGACCCCAGTCTTTTGCCAGTGCCTCAGGGACTTTCTGCTGTGCTTCTCCCATCGCCTCCTCTAGCCATTCACAAAGAACAGTGCCGGCCATTCTGTTTAAAACCATGGTGGGGACCAGGTGGTGACGCTTCTAATCCTAGAACTCGGGAGGCAGAGGCAGGGGCATCTCTGTGAGCTCAAGACCAGCCTGCTCTACAGACTGAGGTCCAGGACGGCCAGGGCTACACAGAGAAACCCTGTCTTGTAAAAACAAACAAACAACCGTGGTGGTTCACCTGCCCCCTGTGGGAGATAGACATTTGATGCACTCCAATGGCACTCAAGACAGTCACAGGGCAACATGTGCCTGCGAACTCATCACACTTAAGCACTTACCAGGGAGATAAGTTGGGACCATGGGCAGGGATGTGGTTAGCACAAATTCCAGGGTGGCCTCTGCCCCCCCCCCCCCCCCCGCCATTAGCAGCTCAAAAATCACGTATGATTTGGAAGCAGACCCTGCACACAGACTCTGCCAGCTCTGCTGGTCCATGGGTCCTCTGGGGCAGGGACAGGAATGAACATGGGAAGATGTATGCAGCACGCCTCCCCCACAGTCAGCCGCCAGCGTTTGCAGTCTCCTCCGAGCTCGTTCTCATCCACAGTAGGCGGGAGAGCAGTGTGAGGCTAGTACGTGGGCGCCGATTCCAAGGTTTTCCAGGAAGCCTGGCTTCCATTCATTTCTTGTGTCACTGCTTAAGCAGAAGTAGCAGATCCAGCCCAGGAATCCATCCACCCTGCTACCCCCGACAGGATGTGCGCTCTCCAGATGTGCCTCCAGAGGGCCTGACTCCTGCAGCCTGGGCCACACCACCCTTGAGCAGGCTGAGAGGAGCGTGACTTTGGAGATGAAGGGGATCCCTCCACACACAAAGCCAGCCTCCACCTACCCTGGGATCTGGCCTCCCAGCCTGCAGCACAGCACCCGAGGCTTTTGCTGGCCTAGAGTCCCTCCTCGCTGGGCTGGACGGGGTAGCGCATGGGTGCAGTGGGGCAGCCAGCTCAGGGCTGTTCCTTACTCAGGCTGGCGTCGTGGTGTCTCCAGAAGGAAGGGGCAGAGCTGAAAGATGCCTGAGTGCGTCAATGGGGCTGCCCACCCTCTGGCTACCTGGTCCTGGGGGGCACCTGTGCTTCAACTCCCCTCCACAGGCAACCGCCTTCCCTGGTTACCCTCTTCCCAGAGCCAGGCATGCTCACTTCCCATCCCTGGCCTTGGCCATCCCCCTTGTGAACTAAGGGGGCCATAAAAGCTTGCCCTCCTACCCATGGCCTGCAGGAACACAGTGAGTTCCCCTGGTGCAGGCCAGTAATCATCTGCTGAGCTGCTTCACTGGCCTCCATCCTGGCCTCTCTGGGTCATGGTGGCACTGCCTTTCCAGGGACAGTTGTGGAGCTGTAATGACAGTCTCCTGGGGACTGGCAGAGCAAGCCATCTCTACGGGAGGAGGGTGCCATGCCATGGGTTTCTGTGTGGCCCCTGGAGCAACCACAGTTGAAACTTACTGTGACTTCTCAGCAGATTTGCAGGCAGAGATGGATCCCTCTGCTGCTCACCCCAAATCCAATGTGTTGAGCAGGAAAATGGGTGTGGCAGGTCCCTGGCAGCATGAGGCAGCAGGGCTCACTAGCCTGCCCACTACCAGGACAGACAGATTGGCTTCGGCTTTGTGTTAAGAGCCCCCAAGGCCACCTCTCCACAGGTACAGAGGTTCACACCTGTAGTTCTAGCTACTGAGAAGGCCACAGCAGGATTTTAGGCCAGGACTCTGACACGAACCCGAGCAACATAGCAAGAACCTCTCAGAGCAAGCAACGTCCTTCTTGGGCTGAAAGGTGCAAGTCGTGCGTGTGCCCTGAGGCTGGGCCTGTTGCTTGGCTCAGAGGGTTGGAATCCCATAGCCCTTTCCTTGTGTCTCACAAGTCACTAGTGTGCTCTAGGCTTTGCACCACGACAGCCTCAGGCAGGTGCCCTGGGGCTGGAGTGAAAGAAAGCATGGCTGCTTATCCATGCAGAAGAGGCTGCGTTTGGCCCTGAGCCAGGCCTCTCCAGTGAGGTGGCAGCATCCAGACCAGAACTGCGCCATTTCATCTTCGCTCCCACACTGGTGACCACATGCACAAGCTCGCACCTCTCTTTGCCAAAGTCCAATGCTGCATACCTCAGAGCCGAGGGCAATCACACCAGTGTCTTTTTATTGGACCTTTCACAGCCACCCTGGATGCCTTGAGCTGCCATCTAGCTCCTCGGCCTTTCAGTCTTCTTGGCCTCTGTGGAGAGAATACCAACTCGGGTATTTTCATGATCTTACCACAACTTGGTCCCTGGGCTTTGGGCTCAGGCTGCTTCACTCAGCCAAGGCCCCTGCCTCCCCGGGTCTGTGCCAGGGAGGCTAACTGGCCTGGGAATCCTAGGCAGTCTGCTCTAGCCTGAGTTCCCTGGCAGCAGTGCCCATTTGAGGCCCCACCAAATCCTCCACTGCACAGCAGAACAGGCTCGAAGCTACAGCTTGGTGTTGAGGTGGAAGAAATGGGGTGCCGCATAGGTGGTGACAGGTGGCACGTGCCAGGCGGATGAAGCTGGACCCAGTCTGTTGTGGAGGACAGTGTCATAGGATGTGGAAGGGAAGTGCATCAGGCTGGTAGCCATGGGTGAGGAGGGGCCTGTTGTAGCCAGGAGATGGGCTGGGAATGCTGGGATGACCAGGGGGCTGAATGGGAGTGTAGCCTGGCCCTTCAGAGGGTCTGGGCTGCTGGTGAAGTTCAGGGGACACCTCAGCATGGTACCCCTGTAGGCCTCTGGATGAGTGGGCCCCAGGGCTGGGTCCAGTAGGCAGGAGACAGCCAAGCCAGGTGCTGCAGGCTTGACCCCGCATCCCTTGGCGTCCACCTCCTTCAGGTATGGAGACACTGCCCTTAGTTTTTTGCCACCAAGAGCAAATGCCTCTTCTTCCAAGCTGCGCTTATTACCAAGGCCTGGGTTACTGGGAATGGGGGGTGGGGCTCCAGGGCTTTCAGCGGGAACCTTGGCCATGGGGGATACCCAGCAGGCCTTGGGCTTGGGGTAGAAACTTCTCTTCCTGAGGCTGCCTTTATGGAATGCAGAGGGGCGGTTGGCACCCCCGCCCCACACCAGCTGGGGCTCTTTGGTTGAAGGTCCTTCCTCTTTACCAGGTGCTCCCAGCGGCACCCTGTCTTTAAGGTTGGAGAAGAAGTCTCTGGGGTGCTGGCTGACAGGCTTCAGCACCTCGGTGGGGTACGCATGAAAACGGCCTGAGAAAGTAGGGGCTGCAGGGCAGGGGCCAACCTGTGCCTCCACCCTGGCACCGCCACCGGGGGCCTGCAATCCTTCCTGGGGGGTTAGCTGGTGTTCAGAATTCTCAGCAGGGGGCCCTCTTAGGTTCTGGGGGCTTTCTTGAAGGTCCTTGTCGGGGCTTCTTGCTCCGTGGCGACAGCCCTCTTCTTGGCACTGCAAGGCCTCTACCTTGCTGACCTGAGCCAGGAGCTTCTTTTTGGCCAGTGGTGACATGATGCCATGCACCCCTTTGCAGTAAAAGTTGGACAAGAGCCGCTTGTAGGCCTCAGGGCAGCCACTAGGACCTGGGAATGGAAGAGAGGGCCCAGATGCCGGGCCCAGCTGTTCTGTGCTATCCCTTGAGGGTCCCTGGCTGGGAAGCTGTGTCTGGCCAGTGGCGTCTGATTTGGTCTTTCCTGGCATGGTCTGGAATAAGAAAAAGCCTTGTGTTAGGGTCGGGTACAAGACCATGCATCTACCCTGAAGGCCTGGAGGCAGTGGGTCCTCAGAGATCACCCAGCAGCACCACTCAGCCCTTGCAAGGTCCAAAGTTTCCCAGTGTAGCCTGTCCTGAGCAGATGGAGCCTAGAACCCCACAATCCCAGGGTCCTGCGCACAGGTGTCAGCCACTCTTCTGAGAACCCAAAGTTTTACCAGCTCCTGCTCTAGCTGCAGGTTCCTGATATTCCAAGCAGGAGTTAGCAGCCATGGCCAGAGCAGCAAGGAAACTATCAAAGTAGCCTCACTACTCGGCGCCTACCTGGTCCACTTGCCTCTCCTCTGAGTCCTTGGCCTTCTTCGGCTTCTCAGTGGTCCCATCATCCCCCCTCAGCTCCTTGGCCATCTTGTACTGCTTCCTGGGCTTGGCGGGGGGCAGCGGTTTGTCATCCTCCCCCTTCAGGTGCCGCACATATGGGAGGACCAGCCTGGAGGGGGGCGGGGGAGCGAGTGTGTCCAGCAGGAGCCACACAGCGGCTCCTCACAGCAGCCTCTGCTGGGGTCCTCTAAGCCCCCGTGCTGCTTCCTGCCAGTGCACACAGCCCTTCCTCAGGCACACGGACTGCCCCCTTCTCTGGACAGCAGTAGCACATCTGTCTATAGGCTGTCTTCGCACTCCGCCCCAGCACACCTGGGGTGTGCTGTAAGGGGACTCTGTAAGGGGAGGGCCTAAGCATGCTGCCCCCTACCTCTCGTAATGGCGGCGTGTGCATGTGGCGGCGCTGGTGCTGCCTGGGCTGCCCCCAAGCTCGTCATACACGTTCTTCCAGAGGCGGCGGCCTGTCACCTGTGAGACCCCAGACAAGATGGGCTAATGGGGACCCTCTCAGCTCCAGGTTCCCCCTGCAGGGAGGGGATGAGAGCTGACTTTGGGGGTTCCTTCTGCAGCCCTGGGCACGAGGCTGGAGAATGCTGCTGGCACCCACCAGCTCCTCCGTCCCAGGAACTACTACCTGACTGCTAGGCACAGCAGGTTTTGGAGCAGCAGAGGGCAGGGCAGAGGTAGGGATGCAAAATCCCTCCTCCCACAGCATGCAGGCTGGATCTGAGTATTCTGATTTTCCCAGCATCTGCAGGCAAGAACAGCCTGCTGACCACCCTGGTCCCTAGCTCCTGCTAGGGTATGGCTGAAGCTTGAGCTCAGCAAGGGACTAGAGAATCCTTCCTTACCAGCTCATAGGCCCCCAGCTTCTCCACTGCCTTGTAGATCTTCCACAGGTTAACTGAAGGCAAGAGGCAAGACAGACCATCAGGCTCTGCAACCCCATGCTACCAGACCGGGCAAGCTGGCCTGATGGCCGCAGGGATGGAACCCCACTCCACCCCTTGCTTTCGGGGAGGCAGCTTCCTCGGGCAATCCCTGTGGGGTGGCGGCATCCAGGGTCACCAGGAGCAGAGGTGCCTTTCCTGCTGTCCTGCCTGGGGAGATCCCCTGCCCCCCCCCCATACCTACCGCCCCTGCATCCCTCCCCACCCCCTCGAGGGACGCACTCTGCTTGAAGCCAAGATGGGGCACCCTCTCGATAGGCGTGTGTCGCTCCTTCATGAACTTGTAGAGGCTGACCAGGAAGGCCTGTTCCTCCTCCCGCTCCCCGCCTGCCTCAGGGGAGTCCTGGAGAGAGAGCAGGAGGCACGAATGGGCCCCACTGATGGGAAGCTGGACAATGCTGACCAATGCTGTACAAAGGAATAAGTGCCTAGGTCCTAGCCACGTGCTACCAGGAACACCTAGCCTCCTGTTCTAGGTCACAGAGGCATAGGTCAAGGGCTGGAATCCAGAGTTCCAACTCCTGACAGCCTAGAAGTGGCCACAGGGGTGGCCCTCAGTCCTCCAGGGAAGGACCACTTTTCTATCTTGCTTTGATCTGTTTTATCCATTTCAGTTCCTAGGAGGCAAGCTCAGTGTCCCTAAACAGTTTGGTAAAAGCTAAATGCATACAGGGTGGTAGTGGGGAACGTTTAATCCTAGCACTCGGGAGGCAGAGGAAGGCAGATTTCTGAGTCTGGTGTCTATAGAGTGAGTTTTCCGTCAGCCAGGGCTACACAGAGAAACCATGTCTCGAAAAACAAGAACAAAACAAAAGCCAAAAAAGCTAAACACACAAAGGCACTCAGTGCTTCTTGGTACCCAGAGGCTTGTAGCCTGCAGCTTCCCGTTTTCAGCTTGATAGACAGGTGGGAATATCTTTTAATACCTCGGACTCCTGTTTGTCAGCTTCGTGACCAGAGTCCAGGTGGTTAGGTCTGCAGAGAGATCTGCTACAAATCTGGGTGACAGCCTGCCTTGCCTAGTACCCAGATCCTGCACCCTCCGGTGCGGGCCCCGGGCGGCTCTGCAGCAGGAGCCAGACACCTGCTTCCCTCTCAGCACTCAGA